GAAGTAAAGAATTAAGAAGGGCAATAGACGTAAAAGTCGGAAAAAAACGTATACATGTATTTGAATGTAAATATAAACATAAATGTAAATAAGTATTGAATTATAAAATGTAAATATAAAATATGTGTGCTTATACTGACTTTAATTGATTGTCAGTTTATGTTTAGCAAAACTGTATGAGTGCAGGGACTTTTTGAAGAAAACACATTTTGTTATTTTGCCTTCATTGTTTTTGATATGTAATAAAGGAATTTGCACGATTCTGTTGAAAAGAAAATTAAGTTTTGATGCATATACTTAACAAAGTAACATTGAAGAATTATATGAATTTTATAAAGAAATCAATTTTGAATATACATTTTATTTTCTGAATTTAAAGACCAATTTAAACCTAGTTCTCAACAAAGTATAATAATGATGATAATTATTTCATATTAAGCCATGAATTTGAATTCTGATTGTGATTGTAAGCCCTGTAAATCAAGAGTCAAACAAAAATATTCGTGGAACCTGAAATTTCGCCTATTTTGTGTATTTCTAAATGGGTAAATTGCATTTCTATTAAAATTCAAACATGAGATTTTGTGTAATTAATAGGTAAAAGCTTACTGGCATGCTTTGCAACTCAGATGAATAATAATATACATGTATATACATGTAATCACTTCAGAATAAAGATTTTTAAAGATCAATAGAACATGTTTTTAATATAATCATAAGTATCCCATTTTGAGTCCAGTGAAATATATTTGTACACTTGTCTGACAGAAGTTGTTCTGGTTATTTATAAAGAGAAGAAGAAAATAATAATAAAATATATAACCTGACCATTTCACTTTGTTTTTAAGTAATGTAAATAGCAGAATATTGGTTGATATAAAATAGTATGAATATGGTTGATATAAAATAGTATGAATTTAAAAACAGTTATATCATTTTAATACTATCATATTATACTATATTATATTATACAACATAGAGATGAATTAATTCTAGCAAATATTTGAGTATAACTTATCCATTATTAAGATTTGATAATTATAAAGAAAAATTACATATATATTCATAGCAATTTTCTTTTTAAATGTTAATATCTTTCAAGCAAACACCTCTAGAACAAACGTTCCAAAGACAAATAAAACATAAAGAATTATTTTAGATTTTTTGTAACATATTTCATTTCTAGGTACAAATCACTATATTGCAGTGTATGCAAAACTGAGCTGCATTTACTAGATTTATCACCATATTACTACCCAGCACCTAATGGAGGGAGGTCTATTTGGCATGATTTGTTTGACATATATTTAAATATTTTATGTGGATTGTAAATGACTTATGGTTGCTCACATTACTGTATTTTCTCATTTGATATTTTTACTCTAAATTGTCATAAATATGCATGATTTTATTTTTACTTTTAGGCTTGGTGATTAAATCAACAGTATACTTTTGAAAGTGCAAATTATGAAGTATAGTTATATCAAAGATACAGCTGGTGCTTTGTTTAGAATTTATTTTGTATGAATGTTTTCATTTGTTTATTTATCTGATTGGGGGAGTTTACTTCGTTTTCCAAAATATACAATATATTTTATATAACCATAAATCATCAAAGAAAAGAAATACTTGTAGTCACATCCCCTTTCTATGTAATTAGTAATTTACTTATGTATACATGTATATAATTTGAAAGCTTGAATAGACTCGTTTGAGAGTTAATTTACAAATAAAAGATTCTAATTCTTCTTGATATAATTGAAAATACATTAAAATATTGGACTCTGTATTATCCATTTAAATATCAGATGATTGTACTATTTTGTGATACTTGCAAAACATTAATGGGGAAAATAATTATGATCAACAAATTCAACTTGAAAATATTAGATAAATAGATTTTTAAAAATTAGGATAGTGTCACTAATTTTTGATATATCTAAAGATATTACACCATCGTAATTTAACTGATTAAGATTGTATATACTACACGTATGCTTACACAGAAAGCATTGCATGACGTGTATATTTATTACACATATGCTAATAATTCAAACGCGATGCTTCTAGCTGCTGCTTAATTCACCAAAATGCGACAGTTTTATTTTGATTTATGTCTCTCAATTTATTAAATTTTTAATGTTATCCGCCATGTACGGTCATGCAGATAGTTTAGTAAATTATTAATGCAAGGCGTACTGCACAAAATCAATGAAACAATAAATTCTAGAAAATTATCAATCCTGCCTTAGTTGAACATTAAAGCAGTTGAATAATTATACATGTATCTATAATTTTCAAACATAGTATTCCTTTTTTGCAAATCATACAATTTGTTGTTATTTAGCAATATTGCTTATGCTGAAAAAGTCTTTTTGCATATGCATCATGTTGCATTTTCTAAGGACAATTTAGATGATTTATAGCACATTTTATAAAAAGAAATAGGACATAGTAAATTCTTTGTCTTCTTTATTTGAATTATATTTTTGCAATAACTTTTTGAATGCTTTTTGTTATAAATAACTCCTAGATGGACTTGAATATGCTTTAAATAATTGGAAATAATTCACATGCATGCGTTTTCTCACAAAACAACTGCTTTTGTTACTGCTGATGTACTTGAGTTAAGGATGAAAGTGTTTCAGCATTTTAATTCCTTAAAGAAATCTTGATACTCACATTGTTTACCTTTTGAAATCTAAGGAAGAAGATTGCAAAAAAAAATCCAATGTGGTTTCTTTTACACAGATATTTATATTGTGTAAAATCACAGAGTTTGATTCTTATTTCATTTATATTCTTTCTTATATTCAATTCAATTCAGTTCATAACTTTATTTTTCTGAGTCACATTTTAAAATATGTTAAAACATGTGAATTTATACAATTATTAAAGTAGAGTTAATAGTAATAAATTATATTTGATCACAGACAAAACATTTCCCCTTTAATTTGTTTATAAAACAGTACTGTTGTATAAAATATAGTTATTTTCAATAACACTCCTGGGTACAAAACACTTATTTTATCTGCATTCATATTTTTTTTACCACAAATTTGTAAAAGTGTCATTTTATTCAAAAATACAAATCCTGATCATACCGCAGTTCGTTTGTATGATTTATATATCTCAAATGCACATTGAGGTTTATTAAATAAATATATATTGTTATAAAGAGTTATGTTGAAGTGCTCTTATGAGCTGTAAATTATCATTTAAACCCTATCAGTGTCACAGCGAAATAGGCTGACACTTTTACAGATATGCTTTTGAATTGTACATATTCAAATTGAATTAAGACGTCCACGAAAACAAAAGAAAAGAAAAAAAAACACGGATTTTAAGTTATATCAAAATGCGTTATTCGGGGATTTTTGTACTAGCCAGATAAATATCTTTTAAATTGAAATATGCACTATGAAATTTAGTTTGTGTTGATGACGGGATTTTTTGTGTACCTTAATTTAAGAAAACATCAAAGAAATGTGTATGACATTTAGATCATTTTACGCGATGAAAGTCATCATAAATCAATTTTAAAATAATGAATATTATTATTTATGTGTTTTATTTGATTTTAAATATTTTAAGATGTGTTAATCTTTAAGTTATTTTTTGCAAATAATGTTCTTTATTTTTTGCTTGTTAAATTCATATCAATCTATTGAATATAGTTCAAGCATAAACATATAATGTTTTTTTCTGCTTTATGCAAGGTGTTTTAGTATTAGAGTATAGCCCTAAATGTGTAAGAAAATGTTACACAAAATACAAAAAAAAATATAAAGACAGTAAACAAAAACAAATTGTTGTTGTTATTTGAAAACATATTTGTTCTAGTAACTTCACCGACAGTTTATTTCATTCTGTACATATATACTTCTTTTGACAGTTTCTTAAACGAGACTATTAAATCTAAAAGATATTTCAAAAATTGAAAATAGATAAAATGAGGTTTAACATTAGGTAAAATCTTCATGACGAGAAATGTTCAAAATTGTAAATGACTATAGAAATGTAAAGTTTACCAAAAACATGTTCAAACTATAATACTGACAAAGTTAAAATATACATTGTTTTTTTTTTCTTCAAAATTTGAATAAATGAATATTTATTACCAATTTATGCGTGCCTCCATTTTAATAAATCCTTCATAAACTCCTCTCTCAAAATGTCAAATATAATTAAAACATTAAAATGTAAAGTGTATTTCTGATCAAGATGAAGTCTAAGTACTGTTGATTTTATGCTCACACAATCCGTATAAGACTAGCATAATATTTATAAAAATGAAGTTGAAATGAATCTACAAATGCCAGCCACCTAATTTCTAAATTAAATTCAAAATGGCTTCACCAAAAATTCACTGCGTGTTTTGTCTTTTACTGCTTAAGTTAGTTCCGTTTTATGACATCAAGTATGAGGCGAATTGGAGTTATAGGATGAAATTAAACATTAAAATGCCATTATGTTCTGCCATAAATGGTGAAAGAGCCACGCATACGATACAATTATATGCATACCGGATTCTGTTCCATGCGTCAAAATAATCTTTATTTTCATTACCCAAAACTCCTAGAAAACACATCTTAGTCTATACCTATGTATCATTATCAAAAAAATCTCGGCAAACAACGAATTATTCGAACATAAAATAAAACTATACGTCAATATCGTTTGTCTTTATACGGCCTATTTATGTGAAATGCAATACAGCTTTATAGATGTAATAAAAGTTTAAAGCTTGTTGGAATTACGCTTAAAATGTGAATGTATGAAAATTATGGGTCGCAAAACAATAATATTGCCCATCAGATGAGGTTATTGCAATACAGAGTCCCAAGATCGCTTTAGCGGCCATTAAATGTACAGTGGTCCGCCTCCATTAGATTTAATTGCTATTAGACTGCTTAAGCTTTTGTTTGGATGAATTTAAGTACATATTTACATCATTTTTATAACTTGAGAGAAAGAATTATCAATATAAAAGCTGTTACCTTGAACAATCCGATATTTTGGGAATACTGTGATCTATCTGGTATCATTGCCTTAACTTTTAGACATCTTTACACAACTTGGGCGCAATCAGAACTGTTGTTGGTGAAGTATTGAAGCCCCTTAAAGTATTGGAACTAACCAACACCGCTATACGGTATCACACGTCAAAATATGAGTGCTTATCCAATGTCTTTGAAGTTTGTTTAATAACCGATTTTTCCACACGAGAGTCAATTAAACGTTCGAAATTCAATAAACGGAACGCTCGTTTCTTATTCCTATCGTATTAAATACATCTTTACTATTACATTGAATCAGTCGTGTGAAAAACTCTGGTATATGCATCCGCGTTAAAAAGTAGTTCCTCATAAAACATTTCATGCTCGCGGATAAATTTAGATAATGGTTCATTGGTTCAAGCAACAATAGCCTTGAAACATATTAACTGGATTTTGTTTACATATGAATTGTGTATGCAGTGTATGTATATACATAGTATATATGTACAATTAAATTGAAACTTTTTTTGCGATTTCTCCAAACCACAATTAAACTACTTTTTTCCTTAGGTAATAGGGCATCTGGCGCTGTCGTATTTACGCTAAACTGAAGCAAAACGTACTTTGTTGACCCGGCTATGTTTTCATGAAAATTATGGTTTAGGAAATGAACTTGCGATATAACTTTGATCGTGTGGCTTACCCTGTAATTAAGTAAGAAATTCCTTCATGGACGTGAAATGAATCAATTTAATATAACTGGAGTAATGAGTATTAAAACGTGCATTTTGATTTACACATTGCAATGTTAAACATAACTCGGTACTAATTTGCAATACAAATATCATTTTTCATTTACAGATATGCCTATTAGTGTTTTTTTTTTTGTCCGATTCTTGGACTTAATGAGAACTATGCATTACACAACCATACATATCGAGCAATATATTTCAATATAGCAATGAATTATGCTGATTGCAAACCTGATTTATTTACAACTACAAATATTTTATTACATTAAAACAACATATTCCATTGCAATAAGTACACTTTTTCAATATAAAGACATGGATTATTATCATTACTTGGAAAAAATCAATTAAGAACAAAGTCAGATGTTATAATACATGTACCTTATTCAAGAAAAAAAATGTAAGAAGATTTCAGATGCAAAACGATTTACAAAAACGTTTGCTGTAACTCAAAACATCTGTCAGATATATTGTTATTCTTAAAGTTAATTAAGTATTACATTTATTGCTTTGTTCACAACAAAATGGTCAGTTTATTTTTTATTTCTCATTTCGTTTTTTTTTCAAATATTTCATTTAAATTTTAATACGAATAGACGTTAAAAGATTCTGAGTCAGAATATTAGAAGGCTCGTTGGCCTTCAACACTATCTAAAGAAGTTTCTTGTCTGAAACCAGAATCAACTCTTGAGAGAAGATAATAAAAACTCCATTTGGCTCCTGTCTCCGTGTACAGTTACAGACCAAACATTCAATCAGCAATTGTCACGAAACACTGCCCTGTTCATTTCGCTCAATGGACAAATAAAACCCGGAATTAATTTCCAAAATTTTGGCAAATTCATTTATTCCTGTATGCAATATTCCTAGAATTTCTCCCAAATCTGTTAATGTAACAGATCTAACAAGATCTTTAACTAGAAACATAGAGATTACCATGGCAACATAGAGTGTTGCACAGAAGGTCTTTAAAATGTTCTGACCACAAATGGTCTCTGTAGCAAAGGGTCCAGATAGCACGTTGTAATTGTTTGATTCTTTTTTGTCTCTTCGTGTGCAAGTTGAATTTGTACAATGATATCCTATTATCGGAAATGAATTAAACTATAGGGGTAATGATTGTCAGGCTGCCTGAAAGTCTTTGAATATATTGAAAGTGAAATATTTTATTAAAATATCTTTATTTCTTGGAAAATTATCCACTATACGGTCCAATAGCTTACATTTTGATTGTTTTGTTGTTATTCAAGGACAACAATTTTCAACAACAAATTAGTCAAAATTATACTATTTATACTCTAAACTTCAATATTTGTTAAATGTTCTAAATTCGAACAACAATACTGTAGTATGAAGCGGAAACAAAGTTTTTTGACTGACCTATGTGCAACAACGTTGAATTAAATTATAGGGGTTTTATGAAATAATGTAAAATAATTTTAAGACGTAACTCTGGTTAAAATTTTGTACGGACACTTTGAAACTTAAAGAAAGCAAAACATACACATATGCTTTACAGAAGCGTTCCGTCTGGATTTGATTATGTTCATCGTTAATCTAGAATAACATTTGAACCAAGCGATGTTAATTTGTGTGCTTTGTATACAAGGTATTGAAGAAGAGTATCAGTTGATTACAAAATTTGTTTATTTATTTATTTCCGGAATTCTTTCAAATCATATGAGACACAGTGACGATTGATAAATTGAGTAATCATGTTTGTTTGTAATTTTTGTAAAATATCATGTTTTTATCAATTTTCAATCGCCTGTAATTGTAACTAGCTACTGAAAATGTAAAACAAAAATTCGCTGTTTGCCTTAAACAGAAACATTTGTTTTTATTCAACAATCAACATATGGGATTTTTCCTAGACACTATTTTATTTCTTATAATATTTGCCTGAAAATTTCAGTGAATATTTAATCTATGTAAAACATACTCATCCAGCTTAAATTGATTTTGCAAACAAAATAAAACCGATTAAATTCTTCACTGCAGAAGCATAAATTTGAAAAACGCCAAAGCACACAAAAAATCGCGGCAAATCGTACAATTCAGAGGAAATAAAGCATTTTGCACACGTGAACATTTTCCTTTGATGTCTGTAAGATTAAAACTCACTTTTTATCCTGACAGAGGTTTAAATTTTACATTATTGCTCGGCACTTGTTTCATGTTTGTATTTCAAATCTGCATTTTTGAAAACAGTCGAAAGTAATGTCCAGTTATGATGCTCGTAAACACCAATAAATGTTGTCCCCGTCTTTTTCATATTCTATTTTGATGATAGAAATAATCATAAAAATCACATGCAAGGTAAAAGATAAAAGGATAATATTACCCGTAGTCTTGCGCATGTGGAAAAACCAGATGCACTTTTTCTGTGTTCTAGACGTGAAACGGTGGTCATCTCTTTGGTCAGTTAACTTTATAGAACTGTTTATTGCTTTTCGAGTTGCCCCTTAGAATTAAACGAGCATCACATATTTCAAACAACCGGAATTCTTAAACCAAGGCTTTTCTGCCAGATCTTTACTTTGCTTTTCATTTTATATTTTGATATTAAAGCCTGACAGTAATACATCTAAACAACAGAAAGGCTAATCTTCTCTCTTTCAATTTGATTTCTAGAGAAACATTATCCGTGATTAGTGAATAGTTTAATATTCAAAATAACGTTGACCCATTTCCCTACTAACAAGTGGGAACTAAACAAAAATGTATTATTTGCATAAACATTATAAATATAAAATGCCTTAACCCACACAATGTTTGTATATAACTTTCACCAGTAAAACATGCCGTTTATTTAAGTGTATGCATAATAATTAGGGACTATAGGCATACTTACATGAATGATGGTCTCTGTTCACAATGTTCCATTATTTTGGTCTCAGGGTGTCTGAAACAAGAAAGAATTGATTGTATTAAACTTTAATTTAACAACTTTAATTCAAAACTTTGGTTTTAAAACATAAAACAATAGGCATTATATATTTTCATGTAATAAAATATACATAAAAAGGAAAAATAATGTTGTAATGAGCTCAATCTACACATGTTCTTCAAATAATATATATTTTAAAACTTAAATTTCATTTTATTTATTTAATCAAACGTTGAGCTGCCAAATCATTAGCTTAGTTCTTTGTATTTATTGCTCATTTTGACGTTTGCACATTACCCGGAAACTGAACGTGCTCGATTTATTTTCATTGACTGAACTTAAACACTAAAATATTATTTTATCAAACTTACATTTCTCAGTTTTCAAAGCATTATACCATTTTAAAGCTCTTAAAAGACTGTATTCAGCCCTATATAATGCAGTTATTCTTCCATCAAACATAATATTATGATCTTAAAATCTTTACATAATTCAAATATTTTTACTACATACTAATGAAATATGCCATATATTATAAGCATCCGAATAAAAACAAAATTATACGTTATATTGTGAACAACTATATTCAAAATAAGATTACGCCATATAAACAAGTATCAAATTCTGAATATTTAAAAGGGATTTGATATAAAATGAGAGATATGTAAAATATGTTTTACATTTCATATAAGTAGGAAATAAGAATACAAAACAAAGGCTATGAAAATGAAATGATAGATATTTTAAGTGACACAGACACATTGAAAATGTGTTTTATGGCGAATTATATGTGCGATATGAAATTGTATACCCAATATGTGCCGGAACATAAAATGCCTATCACTCTGATAACATCTTAAAAATTAATGCTTTTACATTATTCAATGCACCTCATAAAGTGGGTTCATTACCTAAGCTTTATATATAATTTAAGAATTGGAATTGAATTTAAAACGCCCGAAATAAAAATGCAAGTAGAAACTTTTGTTTTTATATAATATGGGAATGATTTTATAAAACACTAAATATATTCAGAAAAGATTTGATAATACACGCGATATATAGAAAGTTGCAGTCTTTCTAAGCCTGTTTAATAATACTGGTGCATCAATAGAATAACAGTATGCCAAATAATCTTGAGTAGATTTATAATAAAGCGTAAAAAACAACAAATAATGATAATGAAAAACACACAAAACAAGTTATCTTAAAGGCACATTATGCCTCAGAAATCCATATTTTTAATTCTTTAGAAATCAAACATGCGAAATAAAGATATCACTTTAGAGGCATAATGACCTTTTAACATTCAAATCTTTTAAATTCTTGCCAAATCTCCCAGCCTAACAATTACTCTATGCTCTTACTTATATAAAAACAAACTTTAGCAAAATCATAAGATGGTTAAGTTAAAAACAAGTATACGAGTAGAACATAAAGGAAGTTACTAAAAAGAAATAAAACATGAAGCAAAAGACAAAAACTAAACCATAAGAGCCTATTTGGTTGACTTCTTAAGAAAGCCGACTTCAAAACTCTCATCCCTTTGCAATGTTGAACCTTATTTTTTCTGGTCACAGTGCCTTTTTATCAAACCATCGAAAACATTTATTGAAAGTCCATGTAACGCACAGATAGCCCTTCATAATTCAAATTTAAAACACACAAAGGT